TGACTCCTATCCGTAGATTGTATGTTCACATGCTCCCATCTCTACTGATTGATGAAAAAAAAAGTTTTTAAAGCTCTAGAGTTTAATTGGAGTTTTTTTTGTGATATGAAGAGTTTCCTATATTGTTGTAATGATGGAGTTTAAAAATGAGCAAACTCACTCACTTAATGCTGAAATATTTACATTCATCATACCATTGTTGAAGGCTCTAAATAATGCTGTACTTGAATAAATATTCCAACAGAAAAAATGAATATTTAATGCGATTTCTGTAGATCAAAGCCAGCCTATCCTTTATTATCATGTCATCATATCTCCCAGTTTTAACTCATCCAGGATGTCCAGTTTAAACCCTTTAATTGTTCTAAAACTTAGACTTAATCAGCAGAACAGATGAGAGTTATGGTGGCGTTAGAACTATGAATGTAAGAGAGAGGGGCTTGATCTGAAGTGTAGAGGTGTTTTTGCAGATTTAAAAGAACAATTCTTATTTACATAAAAGTGTGTAGTGTTGTATGATTTATCCAGAAACTTTATTCCACCATTCCAGTCTTGTTTTTTCCCCCCTTTTTTTTCCATTTGTAAATTCCAGTATAATTGCAAGCACATTTCTTCCATCATGGTGGAACTGAAACATGTGTATTGGTCTTTTTTTAAAAATGTCCAATGAATACAAAACATCACAGCCCCCTCACCACTTTACCCAAGCTCATTTTATCATAGTACAACTTTCCCATGGTCCGTCATTTCTTTTTCATCTGCTTTTAAAGAAAAAAAAATCAGAGGGGAAATGTGGCTTTCATCAGAAGTCAAAAACATGTGCTCCCAGTATCATAGTTAGCTTTACCGGAATTTACCACCTGTATTTAAAGGATTTTTTTATTTTATTCTACTTTTTTCCAGCTCCATCTGTGTGATGTTGCTGACCGCGTAAACCTGGGACTCATACCGAGCTCTGAGGGCGGCTGGCCCGTCGCCTGTCGACTGCTAAAGAGGACAACTGGTGGCATTTTACACATTCACCAGAACGTTACCTCACCGTTACACAACACTGCAGCTGATGATGCCACCCACAGGGTTTCTGGGAAGAAAGCTGACAGAGAGGTGTGGCAAGCCTGGGCTGATGACACATCAAACCGCATCGCTTCTCTTTTAAGGGACATCACTGGGGCTCTGTGGACAACAAACATCCGGCACATAGAGCACGTTAAGTCGTACGCACCTCATGTTCACCATGTTGTGCTGGACTTGGAGTGCAGACCGTCCAGATTTGAGAACATAAACACAGATCGCGAGCGGATGCTGTGACACTGAACATTTTAAGATGCTTTATTTATTCTTGGGTCCAGCTAAACACTACAACAGCTGGTTTGATTATTTGACAGGTTGTGAATCAGCCTCTGTACTGTTTTTATAAGCGTTTATTTATACAAGTGCAGGTTGATTCAGTGCATATGTTGTCTCACACTCATGCAATCCTAATCACATCTGGCAGATGCCCAGACTTACAACAACCACAGCCCAATCTTAGCATTAAGTGCCTTGCTCAATGGCACCTCATTGTTTCGTTATACTCACTGAATTGCCCTCAAGTGTTTGATCACTACAACCCTTGTAACTGAGATATGACTCACACCAAAGTGCAGATCGTTACAGTATTTCTGTATTTGGCATGATTGCAAAAGTTTACCTCCATAGAAAGATACACTGCTCTGCATTGTCAATTCAGCTTTTTTTTTTTTTAACTTCTTAGCCATAGATGGAGAAACAAAGCCTGAATAAATGATTGGAGAAGCAGAATGCATATTGCTTCCATAAAGAGGAGTCACTGAATGGGTTTCAAGAGCGCGAACATTATGTGAATCACATGATACGACCTTCACACTCATCAGGTCCGAGCTCAGTTGAGTAGTTATGGGAGATTTGTACCCAAATAAGGGAATATCTTCTGGATGAATGGTGTTCATCCTCCCAGTTGAAATCGATGCCAAGGACTAATGAAGCGGTTCTGGCAGCTCATTGAGGTCCAGCATGTTATTTTTCCTTTTTCACCCGCAGCATTTGTCTGCTGTGGAGGCAACACTGGGTGAAAACACAAAAGAGGATTCTCTACAGACACACAGATGAATGTTTAAACTCAGTGAATGCTGAGTTTTTGCTCCATTCCTACTTAAGTGTAGCATTTGGCTATGTGCACATTTAATTAGTCGGTACTACACACGGGAGAGGGATTATCAATATCAGCCTGAGTAAAGTCTAAATGAAGAAATGCAGGAATAAATCAACTACCTTCTGCAGTAGAAAAGGACATAATAAAATTAATGTCAGGCATTTATTTCTACATTTCCAGACATCAACTCTTGTTTAGGTTAACATAACATTGTTATCGATTGTAAATGTATTTTATTTATTTCTGTATTTCAACATTTCTTTATTTCTTTATATATTTGTGTCTCTATGTTAACAAGGTGGTAGGTCCAAACCTCACACATCTTTATCTTCTTGTG